ATTACGTGCAGTATAAAATAATAATAATAAAATAAAAAAGGCTGAAGAGAGGGAGCAAAATCGGATGCAAATGGTGTCCCACTGTACGGTAAGAATAATTATTTTTTCTGTTTGTTGTCTCCTGGTTGATGCTGATTTGAGTTGTGGCCGTAGGGCAGCAGCTGTTCTTTGGGTAGATTCTCGTGCCAGACGCGTGTGCACCCTCACCAGATGGGAAGGTGTCATAAATGTCAACACCTTTGGATATTTACCTGTCTAATGAGCCTCAAATATCTATATTTTTTACTAAAAATCCATAAACTACCACTCGTACCCGCGCGTGGCGGTGGGGTGGGGGTCTGTCCGTGGAGATGACAGCGCCTGATGTAACGCAGGTGGAAAGAAGAGAGGAGAAAGTGGATAACGGGATGTTTTTTTTTTATTTAATTTTTTTTAACGTCCGTTCAACGCCGTGTTCAACTAAATATACAACAACTAACCAGCTTCAACATCACATTCTGGAGATGTCTGTAACTTTCAGGAAAATCTCAGGCTTTGGTTATCCTGTGTGAATGCACCACATAAAACAATGACACCACTACTTATTTAGACAGTTTTCTAACCCATTCTCCATTTAATGTATAATTTTCCTGCATCTAAAAATCATTTCTGATCCCATAGAGAGGACAATCTGAGGAGAATCTCACACACTGGACACATTTACATCTATTTAACATATTTAAATGGAGGCGTGTCAGGGGGAGGAGTCTCAGTTCCACGTTCATTGTGATGTATAAAGAAAAGCTGCGCAGGAACCTGMGTACRCATGGTTTTATACATCTGAATGTTTTGGTGCGGCACACATTTCTAAATTTGTCCGTACGTCAACTTTTAGTGTGAAAGCTGCGCAATCCTTTATACATGAGGCCCCTGGACTCGGACTGGACCACCATGATTCTTTTCTTTCTGACCCGCTCTGTTGAACATCAGCTGCTGGGTTTGGCATCAATGGGCCTCAAGCAAGAACCRTTCGTACGAACACACAATTGATTTAGGAGAATTTGTGGCATTCACCAATTTTTCTCGTATTGTAAGATTTTTTTCAGAAACAAACAAAATTCGTGGTCCAGACCTGTCGTATACTTTCCATAATTATGTTGACAAGAGGCTATTCTGTTTGAATTATAATTATAATTTTAAACGTAATAATGTAGACAAATTAAAATAGGCCATTAATGCTGTTGTACAACACTACAATATTAGTATGAAGATCTCAAACTACAAACAAACTAAAATTACGCATTAATTGAAGTTTAATTTGTCTTGGTATATAATGAAGTCAACATATTCAACAGCTTTATTCAAAAATTATTATATTATTATTATGGTTATTTTTTTAATCACATTTTATTTTTTGAGATTTATTCAGCACATCAGCTATGCTATTTTCTCCACAGTGTCAGACATATTTTAGAGACATTTTAAAAT